AAAACTTTTTGAGCGCCAACATAGCCAACAAAGCCACGAACCGGGCAACAGCAACCCAGCAAGTCAGTCAGCTGTAAGCCACTGCACACACACACACATACATATATTTATATGTATGTATATATATACATATATACACTAACAACGACATCGCTGAAATTGAGAGCTGGCTTGCGCCTCAGTCGCCTTCGCGGCTTTTGTTGACTGCGTTGTGTTGCGTTGTTTGTTTAGCGCTCCATAAGCTCTTAAGCTCATTTCGGTTGCGTTTTATTTGTAACTTGAGGCACACGACGGCGACGATGACGGTGACACACATACACATACACATACACATGCACACACACACATACCCATACACACTACCTCCCACCCCAAGCCCGCACACAAACAATCAGCCACCCATACACTCCACTCCACTCCACTCCACGCACCACTTGCATGCTTGCGCCAGTTAGCTTTATTTATTTAAAATTAAGCTGGCGAGCTGCTGAAATATTAAGTTAAACAATTGCAGCGCGTAAAGTCAAAGTTCCATCCAATGGCAATAGTTAGTACAAACAGAGAGAACGCCACAGTCGAGCAAGCCCGACAGTGAAATAGTCTGTGCTCACTCCCACAACAAAAATTACATTTTTTTGTTGAATTTTTTAAGTTGATTAAAAAAAAATTTAACTATTTGCGATTATTCAGAGACTACCCATGGGCCAAGCTTTATCTTAATAGCACAAATAGCAAAAGGATGTTATATCTGCAAATGAAGTGGAAGGGCATCCCACTTCCCTGCTTTTAGTGTTTTTCGTAATTTATATTCGATCGTAAAGGAAATTTAATGTAATATTAATATTGATAATTATTTATAGGCATATAAATACAAGTATAAATACTAAATAATTATTATTTTTAAAATAATGACAATTCACATTTCAATGTATTTTAAGGGTCCCCCTGTCTCTTAATCTGTGTACGACCCTGGAAAGGCTGCTAAACGTTCTCAAGTGTCTAATAGAATCATCTTCATAGGAGAATGCAATCGACACATTACACCAGAAGTAGAGAGAGAGAGAGAGAGAGAGAGAGGGGCCTGCTCCACACAACCATTAATGCATTTAAAGTTCTCGAAAGTGCATTCAGTTTTGGATGTACTCGTGAGTCACACCTGACATTGAATTAAGACGCTTTGCAGCTTATTGGACGACTTCTAGCAGCTGTTTTGGGGCCTGGTATTGAGTACCACAAGACCACAGGGACACAACGATGCGTGTCTTTTGCGCAATTTCTGCACTTTTTGGACAGCCGAGTGGGAGGGGGAGAGGTGCGCCAATCGGCTTGAGTGTTGGCTGACTGAGTTATGACTGTTCCGGGGGAAGGAAGCAAAGGCTATAGCGCGATAGCGCGATAGCGTCGGCATTAAGGGCGTTGTGTGACGCTTGTGTTGGGTTACTCGGTTGTACAATGTACATATGTATGCACAACTCTACATACATGTGTGTGTGCGTGGTGTTTATTTGCAGGCAGCAGGCAGCAGGCAAGCAGACAACATATGCCGGCAATCGTCTTTATTATTTTGGCTTTAATATTACTTATACGCAGTGTAGTACGAAAGATCTTGGTGCTGATAACGCTCAACGCGTGCAACGAGCAACAGCTGCTAGCCAGTGTCTGTGTGTGTGTGTGTGTGTGTGTTGGTGTAATTGTGTGCGTGTACTGCTGCTTACTGATATATATGTTTATATAATTCCCACTTACATACTGCTACTACACAAGTTTATTGTTGGTGGTGCTGCTTCAATGTTTGGCTTTTATTTGCTCTACTTGGATGTTCTACACACACGCGCCTATACAAGCACAAATGAGTGTAGATGTGTGTGTGTGTACATACACACGAATGCAGCGGATGGAACGAGAACGAGACAAAATGAAAATTATGCTCTCTTTGGTATTAAGTTTATGAATAACGAGCGTCTCTGTGTGTTGTGCGCTCTCGAGCAAGCTTACCAGAATTTATTTTTTTCTTGCCATAACTGCATACACACACACACACACATATATATATACATGCTTGGGGCCTTTGTTGCTTAAGTTTTATGCTCACCCCTACTCGTCACTCAGCATGAGCATCAACATCAACATCAGAGTCCTTTTCCAGCTCCTCGTTGTCGTTGTCGCCATTCGCCGCTGATCAGAAGGTGTTAAGTTTTGTTGTTAAAGTTAAGCGCATGAAAAACCTCCCGAGCATGCACACATAAGAGCCACACACACACACACACACACACACACACACACACACACACACACAACCTGCAACCATATTCACCTAGCCCGCCATTGCACATTATACTTGTACGAGTAGACAGCGCCGCAGTTACCGGCCATTGCTGTGGCCTTGGCTGGTCGCTCGGTACGGTCTCGTTTGGCTCTGTTTGGCTTGTAAGGACTTAACAGCTAAGTCTCCAGAGCACCCAGGCAGCTGAGCAAACGAGGCAAACAAGGGTAACGTAAAATCATTCCTTGCTAGTAATACGAGCTTAAGAACTTTGCTTTCATGCCCAATCCTGAATGACTTGGGAATGAGAAATATTCATAACGCTTTGAACAATGGCTCCTTTTTGATAGTTAGTGATCGCTCATATACTTATTTAATGAAGGATAATTAGTTGTATCACCTGAAATTACAGCCTTCTGGAAGTAATTCTTTTGTTAACTTAGGTCTGCTAGTCTGCTGCTTCCAACACAACACTTCACAGCAATTACTGACTGCATAGCCATGTAATCCAACGTTTGGATTAAATGCTGAAAACATTAAACTCATTTCGAAATTGTCTTTGCAGCTCACATGGCATCTTCTCTATTGTAGCCTCACCTTCCTCTGCTCATTCGCACCCGCAATGTTTAGTTGGCCTCGCACCTCAATTATGCATTCCACAGACGTGGCTGTTGCCTTTCAGCGTTCGTGACGCATTGCAAGTAAAAAATTATTGCTACATTCCACATTCAGGTCATTAATACGCCATCCTCAGTGGCCAGTGGCGGCTGTCGAAGATGGCCCAGCCTCTGCAGCCCGCACAGCTTTAGTGATTACTGTAGTTCTATATGGACAAGTATACGTCAGGTTGAGGAGCCACGTCGCGACGTTGAAGGGACGCCCGGAACCCGAGCTGCAGGGAGATGTGGAGGATGTCAAGGAAGAGGCAAGAGCATAAAAGGGGAATGACGTGCTCTCTGTTTGTTGTCTGCCGGACACGCACGGACGGCCTCACAGACAGACATTGGAATGCAGTTCGCTGCTACTGCTGCTGTTGCTGCTGAAATGTTGCACGCACGATTGCGCGCCTGAGTGAAATAAGATGAAATGCTAATGATGGCAAAACATTCCAGCGCCGTAGCCATTGCAGCTGCCGCTGCTACTGCTGCTTCCGGTTCCGTTGCTGCTGCCAAACCGAGACAGTAAGTTGGTATAAGCCCATTGGATTACACGTTCGCTTGGTCAGATCAAAGGCTATGCTTGTCCTTTTGTCAGTCCACTGTCGAAGACTATTAAATAAAATAAAAATTGGCATCGTCCATAGGCCTCGTCAAACTATTTTTGTTGAACGCTTTGATTTCTGGGCCAGATAAATCAATCATAAATCAAATTGCGTTCAACCAACAATATTTTATTTATTTTTTGTTCTTAGTTATTTGTTTTTTGTGACCTATACCTATATACTTGTATAATATAGAAGAATATTATAATGGAGGCTGTTGTCATACCAGATGTTGTTGCATCACTTGTGGGTCGCAAATCTATCTCTGGATGAAAATTTTACAAGTAGTGTAGTTCGCAATCCATGACCACATATATTCGTTGTAAGCTACATTGAGGATATGCTTGTATAGCTTACATTCGTTACATATCTTCACTGACTTTCCAAGCTTATAACTGTTCCTTAGCATCGCATATTCTAAGAGACGTCACTAGCTACCAAAAACTCTGAAGCATGAAATCGAGACCGACTTAAGCTGTTGCTTGCTGTCCATTGTCCACTCGGTTGCACTGCCGATGAGGACAATGTTATGTCCTTTTCGTATTTCTTTCATTGGAAAAAATGCATCAATATAGGAAGAAAAACCACTTCTAGCTAAAGAAATAAGAACCAATCAACTATAAAGGCATGCCATTAGGTGCAATTTGATATGCTAGTCACTCAGTCCGAGTCCAAATTATCAATCAGAGTTGAAAAGAGAGCGCTGGGCGCCTCGAAATGTTCAGAAGCGTTGCAATCAAAAAATGTATTCGCCATTCACCACCAAACAGCTTGCTCTAAGTTGCTTATGAAATAAAATGTTGTACATGACGATAAAACAAGGCCACACTTAAAGTAGGGAGCACAAATAATAACCATCGACCCATCCATTTCTCTTTTTCGCCGATCTAAAGACAACTTTAAAATGCTCCTAAATTTTCTTAAAGCATCAAATCATATTCAAAAAGTTTAGTTCTAATACAATTCCACAATATCTCCATTAATCATCCATTCACTTTCCATTAAAATAATATCATTAAATTATTTATATTATATTTTAAGTTAAGCTTAAGAGCACATCGCTATAGCTTAGAACACCATAGCTCATCTGTAATTGTTATTACCTTTAAGCTACATATTTATAAATAAATAAAATTAAAAACTAACACAGTCTTTTAATAGTTACTATTTTTTATTTTAAATATAAAATTTATTCAACATCAAACGAGAAGTAAGAATGGAATGCTGAGTTCTTGCTCTTTGCTCCAAACAATTATCTCTCGGATTCTATCTGTTATCTGGTGTGAGGTATTTGATGCACCATATGGATCCTGAATATGGAACTATATAGCTGTCTATCGCAGCTTGGTCAAACGACTATAAAAGTTATCCAAAAAGTCATGTCTTGACATGAAATGTATGTTAGTTTTCATTTGAAAAATCAAAATTGTCACCTGGCTAGACTCTATTCAAAATAGAAAACCGCCTAACAAAATTAAAGTTTTAGGAAAAAAAAAATTGTAATTTTTACTTCTTCATTATGCGAATCGTGCCAAAATCTTTTGTATGTCCTCTTGGCGACTGCAAGAAGGTTGTGCAGCCCTCGGATCTTTTGCGTCACGTATTAACTGCGCATATGGGAAGCGCTGGAAGTCGCACTGTACTGGAGATACCGCTTCGGTTCCGTGAGGTATTTCGAGGTCAGTCGACGCTGATGCACCTGCCCTACAATCGCATGAAACTGGATACAGACGAGTGCTTGGCCGTTCTCAATTACGCCGGCGATGAGCAACAGCAGCCTCAGACAATGCCCGGTTTCTGTGGGCTGACGGCACCCCAACGCAATCTTCCGCGTCTGCAACAGGTCTACAGCCATCATCTGCCCATACTCGTGATGGCCTGCAAGACTACGTGGCAAGCGGTGCTCTCTAATATGCCCGCACGGCCCGAGGATGTGTGCTACAACGACGATAATTATGTGATTTTACTGTGGCTGCTATCTCCACCGACGACGACTCCGTGCCATGCCACGATGAGTGTCCTGAATAGCGCATTAAGGTGCGGCCTCCGAAAGAGACGAGAAGTCCGAGACTTTTCCACACGCATGGCCATCGATCAGTTCATATTGGGCTACGATCCACACTACTGTATCCTGTCGCAGGGCGAACTGAGGGAGCTGTGCGGCTCTCACTCGGCATTCATTGAGGTGGTCATCCATGGGGCATAGTGGCTACAAAGTTCAAAACACATCTAGATTGTGTCCCGGTCAGTTCAAAACATTGCACACACTTTGTAAACTTTGTTGCATTTAATATTTCAAAATTTATGCAAATTACACAAATTTCTATCATCGAAGTACTCGCAGCTGCCTCCATTTCTTGCATTCTAAGACGTGCTCCAAGACGTTAACAAAACAAAAGTAATCAATGAATGGTGGTGGTGGTGTTGGTTGTGGTTGTGGTTTTGGCGGTGGTGGTGGTTCCATGTCTAAGTGGCGATCAACTGTCGAGTGAAATGTTGCAAAGTTTTCTAATATGCCCCACAAACAGGCAATACTTAAATACTTTGCAGTTCAGTTAGTAAATCAATTTTATTTGCATGCTACACGCCTACAAAAGTGACCGAAGTTATTTGTTTGTTTATAAACAGTGCCTGAAGAATGTCTTCCGATGTCTACAGTATGCATTGTATTAAAGCATTATTTATATAGCACAGAAATGTAATCACTATATAAAGCGCCACAAGTTTTAATGAGGTTCTGAAACGAAAAAGAAGGACAATTCCAATGACTTATCTAACTATAAAGAACATTTGTACTTCTTTCACCAATATTTTCTAACTTTAGACCTCACTCCATTCAGTAGAGTTTGCACAAGTTCGCAAGATGCTTCAGCCCAGTAACACATTAAATTGGAAACATTCTTGGAATTTTTCTTATATTTAAGAAGTTTTCGTTTCATGGTCCCAGGTCACGACTATTCGGGGAATTCAAATTAGGTTAAAATAATTAAAATAAGTATGTCTAAGACACTTAATTAAAAGTAACAAAAGCTTCTTAAGACATTAGTATATATATGTACTAATTATATACTTTACTAATTAGGCCACAGCTTTCCAAATCAGGCAGTTTTTGGGGAAGGTCGCCCATATAACTGCGTAATAATAATAATATTGTAAAATTTTCGGGGCCTTGCTTTGGCAATCTTATTTGGAAATTCAGTCTTGTTGGAGCGAGTTCACTTGTGTCTACTTTTGTAGACGTAGACGACACTTTAAAGTTTCTAGCCAACGATTGGAATTTCAGACATTCTGCTAAGATAGTTGGGAATACATATAGAATCGATCTATGTTCTAAGTTTAAATGTAAAAACATGTTGAAAATAAAAAATATACTCAGTATATTTAAGAACATAATTCAAATATGTTTAAAAAAAGAATTATTTCTGTCTGTGTCATTGCGACAAGTTAGCTCATCATTTTAAGAAATTACTGGCCATTCGCGCTTTTAAATAAAAATATCTTCTCCATAAATCTCTTCTACAAGTTTCTTTATGTTCTTAAGGAAAGCTTATTAGTTAAGTGGACGGTAAGAACTTTATTTGAAATATCAATTATTTGTATTTTTTTCCAATTGTCATTTTCAATTATTTTTTAAAATTTCATTTATTTCATAAATTTCAAATGAATCTCTGATGTCAAAAATTAAAAATAATATTAAGACAATTATAAAAAAAGTAATTAAACAAGAGCAGAGCCTTAGAATATATAGTATATATAGTATATATATATATAGTATTCTAAAACCTGTGTAAGTTATTCTGAACAGACACTAAGCACACATGACTGTTCCTCAGTTTTTAGAGAATTAACAAATTCATGAACTAGTGCATTTTATTTAAAATGGTATTATTCATGATTCCTGATTCCCATTGCAATTATCACTAATAAGAAGGCTGAGAACGGTATGCTACGTACGATGTGGGGAGACAAGCATTTTTATTAATTTTCTTTTTTTTCAGCGCTGTCTCAAATTTGAAAGTTTATTGCCACGTTTGTGAAGTGCGCATTATTGATTTCGACGCTGCTTTTATTGGCATTGCCCCTTTTGACTTTTTATGGCCGCAGCAGACGGTATCTTACAAACCGACATACACACACACACACACACACACACTCACGTAGTGTAACGAAAATTGATGTGTTTGTATCTTTACGGCCGCAGCTGCCAGACATACATACATACATAGGTACACGTACATATGCTCCTGCACAGATCAGTGGGAGACAGTTAAAGGAGCAAGTGCTATGAATGATTCAAAAGCCCTGCACAGCAACGTCCAACTTTTCGCAGAGCCCTAAATCTTTGGCAGACACAACGGGTGAAGCCCTCAAATTGACATTTTAATGTCTCAATTTACATACGATTGAGTTGCTTCCAAGTTTTATTAGCTGCTAGCAACACGAAACCAAGTAGCAAGTTGTCCGTCCATGCGAGTGTACGAGTATTCGTACAAATTCGAAATTGAAATGCGCACAAATTTGAACTGTTTGGGGCAATAATAAACTTTTGGCAGCCAACACACACGCAGGATACGGGCCACAAGCTTTTATTATTGGATTGCTACTCCTGTACTCATTACCAATACAATTTATCATTTAAGAAATAACATTATTAAATCTAAACACTATTATTAACAAACTAGCGCAACCCGTGTACATTCAATGTCCTTAGCTTCAGGACGCCTCTCCTTTGTCAACTCATCTCGAGCTTATCCATTTTGCGTGTTGTATGTACTGTGTATAAATGTGACCTGAACCAATTGTTACAACTTCCAAAATCTTTATTTGATGATTAAAGGAATCCCTTATGGATGCACTGCACATACGCCAGCGATTTTTCCATTCCTCGAAGCAGTCCAATAAATCCTTCTCTGTAATGGACTTCAGTACTTTCTTCGATTTGTCAAATTTATAATTCCAAAAATAGATTCAATCTTCATAAAACTGACATTACAAATATTATTATGTATCTGGTTTTAAATTCGAAAAGATCTGAATTACAGTTTTCAAAAATGAAGCTAGCCACAGGATCCAAGTCGCTAAGTTACAATACATACATACATACAAGTATATATTGGAATTGTTGTTGTTGCCAAACAAATGTATACTCTCATTCATATATTCAACTTATTTGTTAAATAATAATCAGACAAGCCTAACAGACAGACCTTCGCCAGACAAGCCCCAGCCAGACAGGCAATAACTCTTCCTTGTTTTAGAAACCCAAGGTTCAGGAAGTGTTACAAATTAAAAACGTCCGCATATATTTTCTGGAAAACAAATATCTAGGTTTTTCTTATACATTAATGTACAATTCTAGTGCTGTGTTATTTTTTTTAAACTTTACTACAAAGATATTGGAAGTGTCTCTTTCTCCGCAAATATTGATATATTATTGGTTTTGAAACTTAATCAAAGACTTTGTGTGGCTTGGACAATATACATACTCGTATACTCTCGTATTCTACAAAAATTATACACCTTGTAAATTCAGCGAAAGATGTCGCATACTTTTTGTTGTGTATGTATTCTGTACATTACAAACTACAAAAGTAAATTTAAAAGCTGTATTATCCTGTATCAAGTTTCACAATGCAATACAAAGTTATAACAACATTATCTGAGCGCGATTGTGTCGTCCCTATTACCTGCTACTATATACATACATATGTACATATGTACATATATGTATGTATATGGTACGTACTTGAAGTCCTAATTTAACGTGTTGACATGTTTACAATGCGATATTTGTATCTATTTTTTGTACCTTCATCTAGTTGTTCCCCATTTTCACCCAGGTCTTATGCTTAAGCTGTGACACTGGCATTTTCATTGAGAAATCACACAACTCTCGACATTGTAGTCGTTTTGGTCTACGTGCGTGCCCAAAACGGCATTCCTTGAGGGGCAGCAGCAATAACAACAGCACGGTACAAGGCCTCATAAAGGCTAAAATGAAACTAAAAGGACGACGGTGAGCAAAAATTGTGCCAAGGAATGGCATGACAACAACGACAATAACGACAACAACAATGAGGACGAGACTACGAAGACGACACACTCAAGTCATTTAGCGCTTGTGAAAAATATATGGCCACAGCCTATTGAATTGGAAAATGATTTTATTGAGCAGACAAGTGTATAATTACGCATGCCAACAATAGCAACAGATCCACCTACAACAACAACCTGTGTGTGGCAATTGGGCCTACACACGAGCACATACATATATGTACATATGTATACATACATGCATTCATACAAACGTGTATGTACACATGTACATGCTCGTGCTGCCCAATTTGGAGACGGTCGGGCTCAGTTCAGGGCCAAAAAAAAGAAGAATATAATGCCTCTCAACGTGCCAACACACGCACACACAAAGTCACACACACACACGTGAACGCACGTGAACACACATGCACAGACATGCACGCACGCATGCACGCACGCATGAAAGCGAGTACGTGGCTGACCGACCATCAAGTCGGCCGTGTGCCTGTCAAAGTTATCTCCCTGATGTTCATGTTGTTGCTTTCACTGTCATGTCATGTCATGACGAACCAGGGAACCAGCACCACGAACGCACGCAAGCCGGTTGACCGCCATTTGAAACAACGTTGTGTGGATTCTCAGTCTACTTGTTGTTGTTGTTTTTATTGTCCTGGAATTGTTGTTTCTGGTCTGGTCTGGTCTGGTCTGCTTGGCTCTCTGTTAACGGCTTGCATAGTATCTCTGAATTTTCCACATGTCTTTTGTTTTCTTCTTGCATCTCCCCTTGTAGTCTGCTTGTCCTCTGCATACAGTGGATGTTGTCCAAATGGAATTTAGATCAATTGTATGCAGTTCTGCATTCTTGGAATTAATAAGCAATTAAGACATTTGCGAGTATCGCTCTTTTTCCTCTTTGCGACGCAGAACCAGGTGGCAAGTCGAAAAGTTTGTCCCTTCTGCATTAAATACTATCTAGGCCTATGCAGAAGCCACAACATCAAATTTCAACTTCATCTATGGAAGCAAAGTACAAAGCATTACTCTCAAAGCTGAAGACACTATTTTTGACGTTTATTTTCTTTTCGCAACATATATCAGATAACGTCCACATCGATTAATAGCTGCTTTGTGGTCGCAACAAAGGGGAGAAGGGTATACTAGCTTAGAGCGAATGTTTGTAGCACATATGTAGAACTTGTCGAGGTTTAGATCTAGCTCTACAAGTATATGAAAGCAAACAGTTAAGATTTTGATGCTTAACTCTACAGGAAATCATAGTCATAAATGTAATATCTGGT